GGGCCCAGCTGTGCATAGGTCTCCAAAGCCTTGTGCTGCACCCCTTGAGGAGTGGAGGTGGGGACTACTGAGGCCCTTACCAGCTCCCCCAGGGATGGCTCTGCCCTCCACAGTCTGAGAGCAGCTCCGTCAAACTAGTGGGCAAATTGTTAAGAACTCAGGAGGGAACGGTGTTGTGTGTGCTCTGGTCAAAGGTGAGGGAGAGAAGGGATTGAGGAGGGGGTAAGTCTGCTGTGGGTCCATAAGGCTGTAGTGAAGGAAATCCAAGGCTGACTCCCAGCGGGAAGCCTCTGCAGCTGGCTGTTCTTGCCCTGCCAGGGGCCAGGGCCCAGCGCCGTGGGCAGAACAAAGCAAGCTGAGTGTAGAAGAAGGCTGCCCCCGTAGCCACACACTGACTGGTCTCATGCTGGTCATGGAACATGCCCTGTTGGTCGCCAAACTTCGATCAATAGGTAAACCAGCCATTTTTCCTGATCCTTTGTTAGTGCCTCCCCCAAACTTCCCCCCTTCATTCCACCCACCCCCACCCCAAGCCAGCTCCCATCCCCATGGCTTGCCTTGGTGGGGAGAAAATGAACTGTCTGGAACCACCGGGCCGTTCTCCTGGAAGGGAGAGTAGTCAGGTGCAGAGTGGAGTGGGGAACTGGCCCCTTGTCAGCCACACTGATGACTCAGAGGCTAAATATAGCGACGATATAAACAGAGCCAGCCACAGAGCAAACACAGGGCCCCTGAGTCCCAGCACTGACTCTCACGCAGAGCGCTCTCCACAGCCCCTCCCCCAGCCCTGCTCTTCCCCAGGCACTGTCCTAGGAGGGCCCCCCACTCCTGGGACAGAGGTTGGCTCCATAGGGACTCTTCTCACTCTAGGGTGAATCTCTGGGGTCCTGCCCAGGGCTCCCCCACCTAGAGCTTCAACAACCTCATCAGCCAGTCTGAGTTCCAGAAAACCACTTGCCAGCAAGGAAAGCATCCCAAAGGGTCAGGAAGCAGTCAGGGGTTCCATGAACAAAGGATCCTGGCTGCTGGAAGAAAAGCTGCTGGTTAATAAACCATGCAAACACCACCTTTGGTACAACTTCCAACAAAGGCAGGTCCAAGCAAAATCCTAAAATCATCTTTTAACACATTTCCAAAAGTATTACACAGTCCATACCTTAATAGTTATATGTATTACAATTTCCAAAGGACTTCTACATCAACTCTGCAAGGTAAGTATTAGAAATTGAGGCTCAGAGAAGTTAAATGATTTTCCTATGAACACAGAACTCATAAGTGACAGAGCTGGGATCAGAACCTGGATCTGCCTCTAAATCCAGGACTCTTTCTGTGATATTGCAACCAAAGATGGTTTCAACTGAGTGGCTGAAATTTTTCTCAGATTTCATTTTCCAGAAAGTCTTATTACTATTCAGGGCATTCCAAATCCAACTGCTCTGAATGGAGCCATTCCTGGTCCAAATGAAAAAGCCATTCCCAACACAAAGAATTCCAATCTTCCTGTAGCTTTACTTATGCAACAGTCTACAGTAACTAATTTTTTTGGAGAATTCTTGGCTTCTTAACATTGCCCAGAAATATCTCCACAAGTTTCAAGATGTGCCATTGGGATAGGAGACTTTCCTAAGGGAAGGCGATAACAGCTACTGGCCATTCTTAGATGCATACTGATGAAGACCATGGCGGGAGGAATGGCAAGAAGCTGAGACTACACCTTCTGGCTAGAGGAGCCCAGTGAAGCAGCAGACCTGAACCTCTTTGCTCCAGAAGCTAGATGGACATGGAAACACCAGGGTACCCTTGAAGAGCCAGAGGCAAGGTAGGCCACAGTCAGCAGACCACCGGAGGCCACCTGCTGCAGCTAGCCAACTCACAGAGCAACAAAGAGGGGACACTTGCACTCCTGACCCAGCCAAAAGAAAGTGGGGTGCTGGAAAGGCTTTTCCCTCCACTCATTCTTCTTCCAACCCTCTTGCTGCTTTGGAGACCCAGAGCTGACAGCGAGCACATGATACTGAGCTGCCTCCAATTCCTTGCCTGCCAGTCCAGAGGAGCCACCCTAAACTGACCACTCAGGTAACCAGGCTAGACCTTCACTCTGCATGCTCCTTGGAGAATATAATGAGAGTGCTAATGACCAACATAAACGCACACCCAGAGAATTTGCAACGTTTTGAATCTGGGGTTGTGCTGATGCACTTAACTTGCCATAATGCCAACCTACCACAAATTACACTTCCTCTGCTCCACATCTCCTAGTGAGGTTTCCCTCACACAAAGAAAGAACAACTGAGGTCCGAAGCCAGGGGCAAAAGGCAGGTGCTTACACTCCCTACAAGACTCAGGGACCAATGGCCACTGTCTGGCCCTGGGAGACTGTTCCAGCTTGAGGAGAAAGGAGATGGCCAGGCCCCCTCAACTTCATACTGCCTCTTGGGTTGTTATCCTCGGCTCTCTGAACTCAGCCCACAATGATGGGGCATGACCATCATTCTCTAAAGAGAAATGTCCAAGGCCAAGGCTCACAGCTGCACAGCCTGGACACAGATTTCTTTGGACAGGGCAGGTGGAGGGGAGCTCTGCTCAGGGGGGAGCAGCTTGACAGGTGAGGGGCAAAATGCACTGTGAAATGACAAGAACAAATGTGAAGATGATGAGGATTATGAACAGATAGAAGGAAACAAGCATTAAAGAATACTCTATGTAATGGGGTTGAGGGGTGGGGGTACTTGGTGAAGGGGGAAAAAAGAAAAAAAAAGGAATACTCTATGTATCTGGAACTTTCACAGGGTATTTTCTCTCTTGATCTTCACAATAAAATTCTGTGCTATTAGCTCCAATTTACAGAAGAGGAAACAGACTCAGCAAGTCACTTGTGACTTCCCAATGGCTAGTAGGTGGCAGAGCTGGTGTTCAAACCTGGGCTTTCCAACTTTGTACTCAAAGCCTAGAGATCTAATCCTAAGTCAGTTTCTTACTAGTGCCTCAGTTTCCCTGCCTGCAAAGATGAAGGAAGGGAATAGGGACAGAAGATAAAGGATAAGAATGTTGGTGTGGCAACAGCACTTTCTAGATATGAAATATTAGACTATAGTTTAAATATTAACCAAGTTCAGAAAATGATCCACTTCTTAAACTAGCTGCTAAAAGGTCTTATACATGCCAGTGCTCAAACTCTGCCTGTAGCCATCATCCTAGCCCTTCCCAAGGGATGAGCTTCTGGGGAAGGTTTGTGAGCAGACACAGTGGGGAGGAGGGGATGAAGAGCAAGAGGACTCCATGGACAAAAAGTCTGGTTCTTTGTAATGGAAAATTTTAGAAAACTAGCTCTGGACTTCATTGGCCAGCCTCCTACCACCACAGGGTAGGAGAAGTAGGTGGCTGGCAGAAGGGCAAAGGGCAGAGGGAACTTGGGAGCCAGAGGGGTGAGGGGCAGCACAGAGGAGACTCTCCTACAGCCCTCCTCTGACTCTGCTGCCCTTCCCCTCCCTCCTCCAGGCTGGGGCAGTTGGCTCTGGCTGAGAGGATAGCACCCTGTCGAGAGCTGAACAGCGCCCTCAAAGAGGCACCCTTGGACTGGGGGAAATGAGGCTAAGAAGCAAAAAGCAGGGTCAAACCTTGGGGGAAGGGCCAAGCACTGAGTCAGGAAGAAAAGGCCCTGGGCTCTACTCCAGCTCTGTCCTCCAGCCTGCTCGGAAACCTACTGGGGTTCACCAATGGGTGGGGACTACTCTGGGAAACAACTGTTGAGAGCAATCAGGTCTATTGGGAATGAAGAAATCTGCATTCTGTCTGCAGACAATCCTGTAGATGAGCCTGGAAGACCCATAGCCATTGTCTCCTCCATCAACTCCAGCACCAGGACTGGAAGCTGTGAACTGGGCTCAGCTGTAGGCTCTACAACCAGAGTAGAATGAATGGGCAGGAAGGAGGCCAAGAGATGGAAATCAAGAATTAGAGCAAGTCAGTACATGGATTGAAGAGGAAACCCTAAGCCAAGTTTCCACAGAACAATCAAAGGAGGGACTAGGGACTGGGGCTTGGTGCCAGAGGGCCACCCCTCCTTCCTGATCACTAAGAAACCGGGAGAGCATACCAGGACCAGGACTAATCCCAAATTTCTCTCATACTCCTTGGCAGAAGGCATTAACCATACATATCTAACCCCTGATGGCCTGTTCTCAGGAGACCCAAAGCCAATTTCTTTCCCTTGCTGCTGGCAGTTAGGTTTGACCCTTCAATCAAACCTACTATATAGCCAGTAACTCTCCTCTGGTCATCTGAAGTTACCCATTTAACCTCAGGGTCAGCCCAATGGTGCTAAAGTATTCATTCTGTTGATTTCCAGGTAGACGACAGACACACACACACAGCCTACCAGGCCAGGGACACTGTCCCAGATGTAGGAAATATGTTCATTTCCAGGTGGCATGCCTTTGCTTCAGCGGTGATTGTATTAGCACAGATCCAACCTTGGGCTCCTCACCCTGCCTTGGCAGCCACCCAGAAATCCCTCCCGGAGAGGAAGGGTTAAGTGCATGGGGGCTGGCCCAGACAGCACTACAGAACAGGGCAGTCTCCAGCCCGTGCTGCTGAAGGGTTCCTCAAGCACGAGCCTGCCAGCCGCCGCCTTTGTTGATGGACTCTGCCACATGCTCAACTGACATGCAATCCTCTGCCCTGGTGGGGCTGGGGCCAGGCTGCCGGCCCAGCACCCCAGCCTCCTGCCTGGAGAGACTCTGAGGTACACTCTCCAGAGTCCTAAGCCCCAGTTCCCAGACAGAGACAATGAAGAGCAGCCTCCCCAGCTGGGAAGAGTCAGGTTACAACAGGTTCCACCACTTTCCCCCATTCAGACCCATCCCTGGCCTTACCCAGTTGCCAGTTTCCACTGCACCTCTGCTGGGCACCCCCAACTGTCCAGTTTCACTGCAGCACCCTGAAAATCTTTCCCTTAGATCTCCCCTTCCCCCCCACCACCAATAAGCCCCCATGCCTACCTGCTGCATATGAAGCCGATGGAACTGGTCTGCAATGCACTGAAGTTTTCGGGCAATCTGTACCTCTGCTCGATGCTGCCACTGTCCTTCGGGGGACTGCTCACCGAAGGGCAAGACTGCAGGGAAACCCGCAGGGAGAGGGAGCCGGTAGCCAGCATTGCCTGCAGAGACAGAGGGCTCACATCTCAACATTCTCTCCAGCTCTCCAGTTCTGCCCATGCCAAGACCTGGGGCTGAGGCCTTTATCAGGGCATTCTGCCAAATCTGGATAGCCTGACTTGCCTGCTGCCCAAGTGTATAAAAGTTTATGCTGGGAGAACAGAAGGAAATGGTCCCAGCCTTCCCTCCAGTTCTCCATTCACCAGCAGTCCATGGCAAAAGGTACTTGTGTGGGTGAACCTGACAACCTTCTGTCCTCACCAAACTATCTTTGATCACAGTTTATGATTCATGTAGTAGCAGGTTGAAGCTCTCCTCTGGAGAAGCACTGGAAGCAGCTCACCAGACTTCCTGGGTAGAATAAGCAAGGGACCAAGAAAGAGAAAACCAAGAAAGGGTCGTCCCTTTTTAAGTACAGTAGAGGAAGGCCATTCTCAGGTCCTGACACTCTGGGCAGTGGCACCAAAACTAGGGAGAACACGCCTCAGGCCCACAGAATAGCCAAGGTCCTCTCTGGAGGCAGCCCGCCCGGCAAGACCTCAAGACCAGCGCTCCACACTTAGCAAGTGCTGGGCACTGAGCTGCCGCTAGGGGCGCCCACCCGCCTCCTCCCTCCTTTCCCTTTTCCCTGCCTGCCAGCCTTTTCCACCTTCTCAGACTCCCTCCAAAGCTGCTGTGCTGGAATTGCCCCATGGGGCGCTCTCTCTGGGGGAATAACTGCAGTGTCTCCTCAATCTGCTCCATCAGACACAGCAAGATAGCCTCTGAGCCTTTCCCTTCCCTCCATAAGCTAGTGTGCTAAAAGAAGAAAACAGACTGAATCTCAGAGGAGGGCATGCTCATAAAACAAAATTCATAAGCCCACAAATGAAGGGGTCTTGTCTGATTGAGCCTTGGTAACAGCCCCTCTGCTGGCATTGAGCCCAGGTAGGCCCAACCTCTTTCTCCAGTTCCGCTTCCAAGCACAGAAAGTCCCAAGTGACACCTCTGCCTTCAGAAACCTTCCCTTCTAGAATGGACTGTGTTTTTCCCTTCACTGTCAACATCAAGTCACAGATCCCTCAACCTTCTCCAGGGCAACATTAGCCACTTTAAGGAAAGTACATCACCAGGTCACAAAAGACTGGCACTCCACAGGCCACAGGATGTAAAAGCTGAGGCCCAGATACCCTCTTTACAACCCAAGGAGACACTGTGGACCCAGGGTCCCTCCAGAAAGGGACAGAAAAGCAGAAATAGTAGCATGGTAATTTGCCCTTCTTGGGGCCTGAGGAACACAGGTGAGGAGCAACAACAGGCCAAGAGGCAGAAGGGTGACAGCTAAGGAATCAGTAGCCTCTGCTGTTCAGTTTGGGGAAGGAAACAGCAACGGGCAGGTTTGGGGAGGGAAAGTCCCCTCTTTTCCCCCAGTCTCTATAGGAGGAGTCCTGAGGCTGAAAGCACTCACCATAAAAGAGTCGCTGGGGTTCCTCGGTCACCCCACAAGGCAGCATGACACCCTGGCTTGGGGAGGCTGGACTGAGGGTCTGGGTGGCTTTGTCTTCCTGGCTGGCGGGTCGAAGCCCAGGGCCACAGCAGTGGGTGAGGGGGAAGAGCTGCAGACGGCTGAGGGGACAGTCCAGCTGGCTCTGGGCAAACAGGTCAGCAGAGAGCAAGCGCCCTGGCTGGGCCTCTGGCTCCCCATCCTCTGGCTGGAACACATCATCCTCCAGCTCCTCCACACACTGGGGCGGCTCCATCTCCCCTGTCAGGGTGCAATGCAGGCATCCAGGATGCTGCCCCCACCCACGCCAAACCTGGAGGACTCCCCCTCCCCTTCCTTCTTCCCTGCTTTCCCTTCTTATCCAGGGAAATCAGGCCAGGTACTGGTGATAAAGCACTGCCAAGGATAACACCCACACCCAAATGTGGACTGCCTTGCTGTTCTGGGACTCCCTACACCTCTTCCCTGGGTCTGCCCAGAGCCATCCTCCCCTTGGCCTCTTCTTCTGACTCAGGCTGGTCAGGGTCATGAAGTTTGACTGCTATTGACTCTGGGCAATAGCAAGGGTATGATCAGCTGCTACAAGCTCACAGGGTACCTGGGGCAATGTTAACAAGACTCCTCTGTGAGTGGCTGTGGGAGGGCAGAAGGATGCTGTGACTGGCTATAGACACAATGCTCACAACACACACACTCACTCATTCACTGTCCTGGGGAGTAGCCACCAAGTCTTAGTCCCAGCTCAGCAGCACGAACAAAAGGCAGCCTTCCTAGGGCAGCCAGGTTCCCTCCAAACCTGCTAAGCCCCGCCTAGCTGCCCATCGACTCTAGTCTCCACCCCCTGCTTGCTCAACACAACAAACAGGCTCCCTGGTGTGTTAAGAGTGTGTTTTGGAAGGGAGAGAGGAGAAAGACCCAAGTTAGTCACTGCAGTTGCCCTCTCAGCAGAGCAGAGCTGGGTGTCCCCCACAGCTTGGCCTAGAGGGTAGATCCAGCATCCAGCAGAGTGGCCAGCCTGCCCCAGTTCAGTCTACTGGCTAGTTTCCATGACTTCAAATCTCTCCCCACAGCCTACCATTCCTGCCAGCGCCAAACCTGAGATTGGTATAACCTGCCTCACAGAAGGAAGTGAAATTCAGGCCTCTGTCTGTGACCTCACTTACTGCCTATAGTACTTAGGTTGTTGATATGAGTTCCTTGGTGATAAAGAAGTTCCTCTTGCTCCACCTGATGGCTCTAGGAAGTCTGAACTGGGAGCCATCCAGCATCCGGAGCTCCCAACCCAGTCCCCTAGAAACACACAAGGAACCCTTAGTGCCCTTGGGGCAGCCAGAAGCAGCAGCCACATGAATGGGTAGGAATACAGAGACAATGTTCATCACTGACAGACTTAATTAGAGATCCCCTGGGAATTCTGTCTCCCAGTCTCTTGCCTTTGAAGAACAAGCCAAATGGTCTGTGGGTTGGTAATGTACTTAAAGAAATCTCAGTTAAATTCAGAAATCCTGGCTTTTCCAAATGCAAGCTCTCTCTGAGGTGCTTGCTTCAACCCTCCCTCCAACCAGTTCTTGAGCTAGCTAACTATGATCCTATCTGCCCTCTTTCCCAGAGAGTGAGTTGCCCCTAGAATGGCAAAACAGGCAATGGTGTTCTTTGGATAGTGTTTCCCAAAGTGGGGAGAGGGAGAGAACTCCAGCTTATCAGCACCAGAAAACAAAGTTTGGCGCTGATAAAGGACCAAGCGCTGGCTGTCCTGCCAGTCACTTAGCAGGGGGCTCCCCTCCTGCCCTTCAACCTTTCTCTGCAAGCAGGCAATCCCAACCTTTAGGTCCTCCAAAGCCAATCACAAGCAGGAGTCATTGTCTTGGTTTTTCCTTTGAAGCCTGTCACCTCCCCATTCCCCTCCCAGCAAAGCCCCAAAGTTCAGCCCTTGCCTGGACTGGACTGTGGGGAAGATGCAGCCAGAGGGTGTGGCTCTGCAAGCCGGGCTGGTGGGGGCTGGGTGGGGGGGACACCCTAACCTCTCTCCACAGGAACTGCAGGTGGCTCTTCTATAGGCGGGAGCCTCGGGAAAGTTGCTGGGCAAAGTCAAGTGTAAACTGGAATACAGTAAAGAGATCCTCTTCTCCCCATCCCACGAGCTGCTAAGGTGATGTCCAGACTGGAAGGAGGGGGCACTTGCTGAGAGCACTGCCAGGGAAGGCTTTATTCCTAGCGAGGAGAATTAAAGACCGCTGGGGCGAGCCCAGACCCTAAGGGCTCTCTACACAGGGATGCTGAACTTCGACTCCTCCTCCTAAGAGAGGCCAGATGCTCTGAACCTAAACAGGGGCTAAAATTTGGGAAAGCACACATACACACACACTCACGCACTCACACAACACACAGCCGACCTGGGTGACTCCAGGAGAGAGTCTCAGCCTCCGAGTCGTGATGCCAGGGCTCCGCGCCAGGGTCCAGCGTGACCAGCACTCGGGGGCTTGTCGCCCAGACTCAATTGGGAAGGAGGGGGAAAGCCCAGCTGTTAAGGAGAGGAGCCTTTAGACTCCGCAGGAAGTCAGGACGCCCTACGACTCCCTACCCTACCCCAAAGTCAGACACAGAGGCCAGGCCGTTTTAGGGCGCCCAGGTCTACTCAGCAGTGCACCGTAGGTTCCCCTGCCCACCTGGACCCAACTCCTTGGCGTCTCAGATGCTACTACACCCAACTTCCCTCGTGGAGCAGCGCACCTAGATGTGGGTTCTGCACGCCGTTCCCTCACCCCAGCGCCTCAGTCCTTCAATGGTCACCCCAAACGCCTGCAACCCAACCCTTCTCGGGCCCCCACGCTCAGAGCGACTCCACTCCCCACTTTCCCGAGGAGGTGCGATCCAACTCCGCCCGGCCCCCAGCTGCACGGGCGCTCACCGGGCCGCAGCGGGAGGCGGGAGGCGCAGGCAGGGGCGGCGGCTGCAGCTGGCGGGCGGGCGCAGGAGGAGGCCACTCAGCACCGCGCGGTATTGTTTCCAAAATACGCCCGCTCGGGGCATCCCGCAAACAGCTGATGAAGCCCCGCCTCCTGAGCGTCACGCTGTCGGCTGGCCAATGGTGAGTGGAACCCCAAGTCCCGGGCTGGGCGGCTGCCAGGGACTGTCACGAATGTACGAACCTTCCCTTGGAAACATTGCAAGGGGCCGAGCAAAGTTCCTACTCCCGCCAGAAACGCATTTGGAGCACCGTCGCCCGCACAGATTCCGTTCCTAACGCAGGCTCTGGAAGCTCCAGAGAGTCCCTGACTCCTCTCGCCTCGCAGCGAGAGAGGGGGCGTCAAACTGACTTTTGTCTTCTCTTTCTCGGGAACGGGCTGAATAATTACACCGCGTCCAGAAAAGGAGGGGAAGGTGAGGCGGGAAATTTTCAGACATTGGCTGCGTCTTGTGGGTGCAAGATACGGGTCCCCGTGGATCCCGACCTGGTGGCAAAGCACCCTCCCGCCTGCCGAGCGGGTCAGAAGAAAACTCCAGCCACAAATCTGTAGGAAAAATGAGAATACGTGTGCCTGGCGCCGTTGATGAGTGACATTCAGATCAAACACATCCAGAGGGACACTCATGTCCTCTTTTTGACTGGGTGTGGACACTTGGAAAATACCATCGAGCTTGAGGAGAGGAGAGATCAAGAATGCAGGAGCTGCTTGGGCAGCTGACATCCTGTTTATGGGCACCATCCAGAGATAGTGCAGGCGCTGCCAGGAGAGCAACGCTGCCTGCAGAACTCGCGCTGTCGGTAACGGAGTCCATGAGCTAGTTCACAAACATTTATTGAGCACCTGCGTTTGAGTGCGGGCACCGAGCTAGGAACAACAACACCAAAAAAAATCCTGGTGCCTGCCCTCTGAGAGCTTCCAATCTACTTGGAGAGGAGGACCTAAAAATAAAGGAAAGCAGCATGGAATGCGTTAATTTTAGGAATAATGACTTCTGGGAAGTGCAGAAAAATTCAGAATGCAAAGACAGTACGACTTCAGGGACATGGCTTTTGAGTTGGGCTTTAAAGGATGGGAAATTTTTTCAAGAAGGAAAACCAGATAAAACAATTCGGGCCTTGTGGCAGCAGGACAAAGTACTGAACTGGAAGGTAGGATCATTGAGTGTACACTGGGATTTAGGAAAGATGGGCATGGACAGGTAGATACAGGTCAGATACAGAGGTGTCCCTGGAATGTCAGGCTGGGGAATCTGTACTTTATTCTGGAGGCAAAGGGGTGCCAGTAAAGATTTTATAGATGAGTGACTTGACCCAGAAATCTGTAAGAGGGAACCAGTCCCTGCAAAGATGAGGTGATCATTGCTGGGCCCTGACCCCAGGAGCAGTGGGGACTGGCTAATCACCAAGCTGCTCTCTCTGGGTGGTAAACTCAGACAGATTTAGGTTAAGTGGAACTAGGGCCCTTAGCCCAGAGGAGCCTGAGATCTCTTTATATATTTTTCCTGCCCATTCATCCTTTTCCTAGCTCCCAAAAAAAAGTACTTGAAAGAGACCAAACCAGGCATATTGAGGGCTGTAGCTGCTAGAGTAGGAAAGTACTGTCCCTGAAGGACAGAGAAGAGGGAAAAAGGAAAGGGGAGAGTCAAAGTTGGCCTGCAGACAATCCCCTCAGGAGCTGACAGATAACCACAAAGATGGGCTGGAGCCAAAGGAGGTATTTTATTTTTCTGGGAGACTTGGCCAGGAGGGAGTGTGAGAGCTGGTCGGGGTGACCTCGCACTCATGCCACATGAGATGCGGAGACCAAGCCCAGCCTCAGGCCAGGGAACTGAGGAGCCCTGACCATGCTCACCATGCACACACCTCCTTCTCCTCCTTCTTTCTATCCTTCTCTTCTTCATGGCTTTCCTCCTGGGCCAGTGGTTCATGCTGGCCAGTGATGACCATGAGTGTTACTTAGGGTCAAGAGTGGGGAACTGGAAAACGACTCAGTTCTGAATCTATCCTCTGGAGCCCCATGGTCCCTGGGGTGCAGGGGTCATCCTGTTTCTTCTGACCTACCCAAACTGCTGAAACTGCCTGATGCATCACAGCCCTGAAAGGCGGGTCTACAAAGCAAGGAAGCTGGTACCTGGGATCCATGTACCCACCAGAGCCCCCCAGGGTCTCTTCAGCTTTAGGGTGTATGAACCCCTGAAACTGGCTACATAGTGCTTGAGTTCACACAAACATTTAGGGGGTGGCTGCATAGCTTACAACAGTTTCCCAACAGGATCTGTGACCCTATAAAAGGTTAAAATCACCATTGTAGGAGAATGGGGCTGGAGAGCAAAAGAGATCGTCTTAGTGGGGCTGGACAGTTTGCAAGATGGTGGGTCACACTCTTAGTGACATTTCTTCTGGGACTTCTCTCCCAGGCCTTCCCATCCTGCTCCCTCAGGCTGGTTCTGAAGGACAGAGCTCCCAGTAGCTTGGCCTCCTGTGCTTTTAGCCTCTAAGGTCAAGCAGCAAGGGCCCAGCCTTCTGAGCTGGAAGGACCAGAAAAGACTGTCAGGGATAAAGGGGTCAGGGAGGTCAGGAGCCTCACTCCCCACTCTCATCACTGTCAAAGCAGACCCCTCCCTCTTGTGCCCTTTCTTTCTCCCTTCCAGCACACAGCAGTCTCAACAGTGTCAGGACCTGCTGGGCTAGAGTTCTGGGCTCTGAGTCCTCTGACCACCAGCAGCACGCTAGTAACAGATGAACCCTGGGCTTTTGACAGGACTCAGAGCAAATGTACATTGCAGCCACAACAAGAAGCTGCACGGGCGCTCACCGGGCCGCAGCGGGAGGCGGGAGGCGCAGGCAGGGGCGGCGGCTGCAGCTGGCGGGCGGGCGCAGGAGGAGGCCACTCAGCACCGCGCGGTATTGTTTCCAAAATACGCCCGCTCGGGGCATCCCGCAAACAGCTGATGAAGCCCCGCCTCCTGAGCGTCACGCTGTCGGCTGGCCAATGGTGAGTGGAACCCCAAGTCCCGGGCTGGGCGGCTGCCAGGGACTGTCACGAATGTACGAACCTTCCCTTGGAAACATTGCAAGGGGCCGAGCAAAGTTCCTACTCCCGCCAGAAACGCATTTGGAGCACCGTCGCCCGCACAGATTCCGTTCCTAACGCAGGCTCTGGAAGCTCCAGAGAGTCCCTGACTCCTCTCGCCTCGCAGCGAGAGAGGGGGCGTCAAACTGACTTTTGTCTTCTCTTTCTCGGGAACGGGCTGAATAATTACACCGCGTCCAGAAAAGGAGGGGAAGGTGAGGCGGGAAATTTTCAGACATTGGCTGCGTCTTGTGGGTGCAAGATACGGGTCCCCGTGGATCCCGACCTGGTGGCAAAGCACCCTCCCGCCTGCCGAGCGGGTCAGAAGAAAACTCCAGCCACAAATCTGTAGGAAAAATGAGAATACGTGTGCCTGGCGCCGTTGATGAGTGACATTCAGATCAAACACATCCAGAGGGACACTCATGTCCTCTTTTTGACTGGGTGTGGACACTTGGAAAATACCATCGAGCTTGAGGAGAGGAGAGATCAAGAATGCAGGAGCTGCTTGGGCAGCTGACATCCTGTTTATGGGCACCATCCAGAGATAGTGCAGGCGCTGCCAGGAGAGCAACGCTGCCTGCAGAACTCGCGCTGTCGGTAACGGAGTCCATGAGCTAGTTCACAAACATTTATTGAGCACCTGCGTTTGAGTGCGGGCACCGAGCTAGGAACAACAACACCAAAAAAAATCCTGGTGCCTGCCCTCTGAGAGCTTCCAATCTACTTGGAGAGGAGGACCTAAAAATAAAGGAAAGCAGCATGGAATGCGTTAATTTTAGGAATAATGACTTCTGGGAAGTGCAGAAAAATTCAGAATGCAAAGACAGTACGACTTCAGGGACATGGCTTTTGAGTTGGGCTTTAAAGGATGGGAAATTTTTTCAAGAAGGAAAACCAGATAAAACAATTCGGGCCTTGTGGCAGCAGGACAAAGTACTGAACTGGAAGGTAGGATCATTGAGTGTACACTGGGATTTAGGAAAGATGGGCATGGACAGGTAGATACAGGTCAGATACAGAGGTGTCCCTGGAATGTCAGGCTGGGGAATCTGTACTTTATTCTGGAGGCAAAGGGGTGCCAGTAAAGATTTTATAGATGAGTGACTTGACCCAGAAATCTGTAAGAGGGAACCAGTCCCTGCAAAGATGAGGTGATCATTGCTGGGCCCTGACCCCAGGAGCAGTGGGGACTGGCTAATCACCAAGCTGCTCTCTCTGGGTGGTAAACTCAGACAGATTTAGGTTAAGTGGAACTAGGGCCCTTAGCCCAGAGGAGCCTGAGATCTCTTTATATATTTTTCCTGCCCATTCATCCTTTTCCTAGCTCCCAAAAAAAAGTACTTGAAAGAGACCAAACCAGGCATATTGAGGGCTGTAGCTGCTAGAGTAGGAAAGTACTGTCCCTGAAGGACAGAGAAGAGGGAAAAAGGAAAGGGGAGAGTCAAAGTTGGCCTGCAGACAATCCCCTCAGGAGCTGACAGATAACCACAAAGATGGGCTGGAGCCAAAGGAGGTATTTTATTTTTCTGGGAGACTTGGCCAGGAGGGAGTGTGAGAGCTGGTCGGGGTGACCTCGCACTCATGCCACATGAGATGCGGAGACCAAGCCCAGCCTCAGGCCAGGGAACTGAGGAGCCCTGACCATGCTCACCATGCACACACCTCCTTCTCCTCCTTCTTTCTATCCTTCTCTTCTTCATGGCTTTCCTCCTGGGCCAGTGGTTCATGCTGGCCAGTGATGACCATGAGTGTTACTTAGGGTCAAGAGTGGGGAACTGGAAAACGACTCAGTTCTGAATCTATCCTCTGGAGCCCCATGGTCCCTGGGGTGCAGGGGTCATCCTGTTTCTTCTGACCT